ATGAGCAGATATGTCTGTGGGGACCTGTGTGTGAGGCTGAGCAGCCAAACCTCTGGGCAGCCTTACCCTGCCTTTTGTCTGCCCCAGGCCTCGTGCTCTGCTGTACAAGATTCCTGTGGACTTTGACAGCAGCCTATATCTATTCCAGGAATGCTTCTTCTGCTACACCATCATCTGGGGTATCAAGACCTTTGTTCCCTGGACTGCACCTCTATGCATTTCTGACAGTATACATTATTTTTTTTCTCTCTCTATTCCTTCTCTGTCATCATTATTTCTGAATAAAGGGAACTGTGCATGGTACCAGCCGATTGGTGAAAATACTTCCTCAATTTCGGTTTTGGCCTTAGTTATTGCTTTAGTTCTTCCCAAATATTCTAGTTATTTATTTTTATGTTGTTGAGGTTTTTTTTTATTTAACCTGTGTCATTCTCAACTGTTGATATAATGAATGAGTTCAGGTTTGAGGAGTTTGTTTTGTTTCTTGTAGATGGAGGAGGAACAAATAATAAACCAGCCTTGCTGATAAACATGTGATACTGACAAATGGCCAGTTTGTATCATATAATCTAACTTTAATCTGAATTAGTTAATTACTCTTATTAACTATCATTAATTAATCATTAATTCACAAGTAAAGAATAAATTTATTTCCTCTGTGTGAATGCTGCTGGAAGCAAAAATTTATCTAAAGCATTAAAAGCATGCAGCTGAAAGACTAACATATTTGTGGCTAAAATCCATACTACTATCACAGTCTGCACATCTCAGCAGACATTTGAAAAATAGCCCCTTCTTTTTTAGAGCTTTATAGGGCTTTGAAAATCCAAAGTGAGGAAAATCTTCTATCCTTTTTTTCTGATTGACAGTGTATCTCACATAGAAAAGAGACATGCAAAAGACAATAATCCATTAGCCTCCTCTAGGTGAAGGGGAATGTGAGCAATCGTTGCAGTTCCCTGACAGTCTCTTGCCACCACTGGTCATTGAGTTCTATAAACAGCATCATTTGTTTCCCAGTTCGTATAAATGGGTATTTTTCCTATAACTGTGATAATATGAAGCTCTGCTGGCCACAGGCAATGGATGTTGAAACAGCAACCTGTTACAGAGCTGGCTTTTTTTACAATTGCTAATGCTGGGAGGTTCTGGCTAACCATCGTGCAGGAGTACCCTTTGGACTCAGGAAGAACAGCATCCATGGTGCCAGCAGAGTGCATGAGCTGCAATTGAACCTTGTGCATGGGCTTGACAAAGGTAAGCTGAGCAAAGGTGGCTAATTTATGGCTCTGTGTGCCTAGATCTAACCTTCTATTTATGGAAACAGGATGTGTTAATGAGCTTGGGCATGACCACTGTGATAAAAAAATGGATGTTACCACCAAGGATATACAATAGCAGAGACATCTGGCTGTTGAGCAGGGCAGGGCCTTTGCCAGTACTATTCAAATGGACACATCCTGCAAAGCTTTAACAATGTTTGCCTAGAATGAAAAAGATTTCTTGGCAGATCTATCCTGATGTGAAGTCTGATCAAGTGAAAAACGGTTATTGCTTTCAGTAAGTCTTGGCACAAAAATTTTCCCATCTCGCTATTACCTACAAGCCTCCAAGCAGGAAACCAACCAACAGACAATCTTGAAGACTCCTATGCTTATGATTTACAGCTAAAATTTGGTCTATAGCACACTGTGGATGTTGGAAATACATCTTTCATTCACAGTAGTCAACAGAGACCCACAACCGTCTGCCACCAATTGCAAGATTAACAGGTCTTAATTCAGCTGATAACTCTGCAATTTTATATTTGTATTAGCTAGGAGATCCTGTCCTCTCACAGCTTCAAGTTGCTACAAAACTCTTCATAGATGTGCTTTACTTCTGCTAATGTCTTCGCCCCCTCATACCTCTCACTGAGTATCAGGAAAAGGCAAATTTAGCCGTAGACTCCAGCTCACAACTACCAACTCTGGCACAATACCAGAAAATCTACTAAGTGGCTTAAGGAATGACACCTTTAGTTTGAAAAGACTGTGGTACACTCTTGAAAGCGTGTGGTGATGTTTCCATTAATTTATTTCAACAGGAAAGAACAAAAGCTCTGTGAGCCATCTCGGGGGGAGCTGCTTTTCAGGCTGGTTGGTTAAGGAGCCTCTGGCCAAAAGGGTACTGGAGTGGAACAGTTGCACCTTTTGTTATGACTGCAACAGAGCTTGAATTACCTGGGTTTAGTATGAAAGTCCTGAAAATTGCTCTTGGAATAGCTGAATTAGGTTAATCATAAGCACCAGTGATTTTCCATTGTTCTGCGAACAAGGAAAGCCAGTTGGCTTACAGTGACATCTTTCATCATTAATTAATCAAAATCTAGACATGCTGAATTGTCTATCACAATTGGCTTCTCAACAGCTGTTGAAAGTACTAGAAAATCCACTCACTGCCACACAATAGCTGCCTTGATAAATCACAAAACAGAAAGATAGTGGTTCTTACCTTTCAAAAGGCTCAACACCAGACTGAGCCACAGAGCGAAGAACACAGAGCGTCTCATTGCCACTTCTGTTGCTGCTGCCACTTGCTGCTAAGCCTAAGAGAAAGTGCCTTTCTCTTCTGGCATCAGCTCATTTAAGGTCCCAGCCACAAGGTAGAGAGCTCAGCCCTGAGCTGACGTCATGGTGGCAAGTGGTAAACGATAAATTCAAGCGGTGTTTTTCTTCCTCCTCAGGCTGGGAGGAGATTTCTGGACCTGCAGCGTTCTTCCTTTAAGTCATAAATTCTTGTGATCTGTTAACACAAGGAAGTTACTGCTAAATAAGCTGACATGGGAACTGACAGTGCACCAGCCATCCCTTGCCAGTTTCCCATACCAGCACCTTTCATGCAAATTAAATGAAGAGTGCAGTATAATATGTTCTTAAAGTGGAAGAGGTGACCCCATCCCAAGGCATGCTAATTATGCACTTAGAAAAGAGTGCCTGGGATCCACATGCTCACTTCTCTTGCAGTAAATTACCAGTACAGACAAGCTTAATTCCTCAAACTCCAATTATTTTTTCTTACAAAATCTTATTCTAAAGCACTTCTTACTGATTAACAGGTTAAAAAGAAAGAGAAAACATCTGCACCATTGACCCCAAAGAAACAGAACTGACACTTGCCCTTCTGGCAGTGATCATGGCTGTTTTGTTTGCTGCTCACTTACGTGTTGCAGACTCACTACAGTGGTGGGCGAAGAGAAGGAGGAGCAGGCAGGACAGCCAGCAGGTGTTTTTGTTTTCATCTGAGAGGCAGCCTCCCTTTCTTGAGAGGAAATGTACTCCTGCCAGGGAGACATTTGTAACCAGGGAATGTCAGGCTGGAGCACAAAGCCTGCAGCAGATCTAGAAATGACAAAAAAGAAAAAAGGTCTCTGTGGGCAGGAGCTGGTTATCCCAAAGTCTCCTACTTCTAGCTGCCTCCCCTGCCCAAGTTCGCCAGTGTTTGTTCTGCTTTGTGCTCCAGTAAAATGCACTGCTTGAGATCAGCTGGGCTAGATCCTTGATTTCCAGTTCCTCCTTTTCAGGCAAAGGTGAAATTTCTCTCATTTTGAAGGTCTGAGTGGCTCTGTATCCTGCCACAACTGCCAGTAAAGTCTTTCTCTGAAATAAACACAGCTTATCCCATCATTACCAGACAAAAGAAGGAAGAACAACCCATATCCCCTGCAATGCCACTTCTAATGACTATCTATGGTCCTGGTCTCCTCTGGTAGACCCCAAGGCCAGAAACACAGGCAGGTTATGAACACACTACTGAATGCCACATAACAGCTCAGTGTAGTAAATGCCTCTCCCTTCATCTGCTTTTGTTTGATCTTCTGTTATAGGAACAAGAAAAGCAGTCTTGGTTAATCTCCTATATTGAGAGGGTGTATTTCCTTGAATGAAGGAGGATGAGAGAGACTAAAAGTATTACTCAAAGTCATTCCTGAGCTTACGGTTGTCTTAAACTTTAAACATGCACTGAACCAGGAAACACTGCTGGCTTACAGACAGCAAAAATGGTTGTGTGCCTCTCTGGCACAAGAAATGAGTGGCTTTCTCCTGCCTATTGGACATGAAATGAGTATAAAGAACCTTGGTAAGTTCCAAGGAGAAAAAGAGAAAGTTTTATTTGAATATCTGGTATTTATCAAATTCTAAAGGTGACCGTGGATTGGAGGATGGAATTATCACCTCTCCAACCATACTGGTCTAAAGATTAATCAATCATTTTTCTCCACCCACGGAGAAATATGTAAACTACTCTATTTATACATGAATTTGTGCAGGAACTTTGTCTCTTAAATATGTAAATATTATCAGAAGGCTAAAGAAGTTTTATGAGAACTTTTGCACTTTCAAAAGAGCTATTAAAAAAACCCACATTTAAAAATCAGGGTAACATTGTCCCTCTGTGAACCTGCTCAGGATGTTGAGCCTGAAATGTGGGGTTTTTGCCTGTACCTTCCTTTGTATCTCTGTCCCTGAAGTCCCTCCAGTGTGACCTGCTCCCCACACCTACCCATAGTCCCCACAGTGACCCCCTGGCAGCCCCCTCTCCCTCTGTCTGCTTCTTCAGGCCACGCTGGATTCAGCTCCTGCCCTGCTGCTGCTCCCTCCCATGCCCATTGCCCATCACAGATCACTCAATTTCTCCAGGCCCCTCCTTAAAACTTCTTTGCCAGGAAGCTGACAGAATAAGAGAAGGAAATGCCTGGGAAATGTTTGGCTCCAGTTCTCTCTGCCTACCTGCTTGGCCAGTGTCCTGCCTCCACCTCAGGCCACCAAGACCCTCCTAGCTTCAGGGGACATCCAAAAACTAATCCCAAAGTCTTGTTAGAATAACATATTTCAGTGCTGGGAGCCCAAGACCCCAGCAGGTGCTTCAGGTGGGAAGGGGTGTGCAGAGGACAAACCTGGCTGTTGGAGAGTGGCACAGCTGTATGTCACCCATCCTCTGGCAATGTCCATCTCCTGGATTTACACTCTTCAGTCTTCATGATATACTCCCATTTTCCAATGCTGCCTCAGGGTGCAGCTAGATTAATCCAGGTGTTAAAATCCCCCTGTTGGCTGTGAAGCAAGTGCATGGGACCTAAAGAACTTCTTAGGGCACTATTGAAAATGAGGGCCAGGTCTTCAGCAGGTGTAAATGGTGCAGCTTTTCTGCCCACACTAGAGACTACTGGTTGCGTGGGCAGTCCTGCACATTAGAACTTCTCTCTACAGTGAATGCACATCAGGAAATGGTGTTACCTATATTTTTAAACTTTACTTCCATTCCTACCTGGTTGTTTATGTTAACTATGATCATAGTTTTGGCAGTGTGAGTCATTTGCCATGCAAAAGGCCCCAGTTCCTCCAGGAAATAATGCACTCAGCAGATATACATCTTCACAGACCAGACATTTTCATCTCTGCTTGCCTTCCCTGTCCATTTTGTGACACACCAGTGGTAACAACAGGCTCTCTCCAGGAAGGAAGGTGACAGGCTCTATCTGCCCCATTGCTTGGTGATTTGTGGGGGAATTAGTTATAGAGATACGGTGGCTTAGGAGAACAGACACAGAGAATTAACAAAATAGGAGAACTGATACCAGTGAAATAGCAGCTCTGCTGCACTTACTAATTAAGTCTTTAAGCACACGTTTAGGCAATAAAAAGTTGACTGTTAGTCCAGACAGACTCACACAGCCACAGGAATTGTGATGTCCTGCAAGGAACTACAGAGAAAACTTCCTTTGCAGAAATAAGTCAATAACTTTCCAGAGGCTGTAAAATCAAACTGTTGTGTGTCAAAACTCAGATATGACAATCAAGAACACTGAACAATTATTATGGAATAAAAAATATGCTATGTTTACTAACAGTAGCTGCTCTATTGTCAATACTTTTTTATGGCAGGAAAAAGAAATACCAAAAGTAAAGGGCCTTATCTATCTATTAGAAAGCATATGTAATCAAGAGGCAATCATGCTGTCAAAAGACAAAGCAGGAAAAATTGTCTGTTACAGCTCCTGATGTGCATCAGCTCAATACTTTTTCCTGCACATTTTCCAATCCTTTTCCTTACTAGATTCCTATATATTTTGTTATTTCATGTAAATTTGGTTCCTCCACTATATATGACATATATAAGTAGAAATACATGTTTTAATTACCTAAAAGTTAAAAAAAAATTAAAAAAGCTTCAGAAGTCCAAATCAAAGATTTAGCTATGGACACAGATTCACATATAATCAGGGGAAGCAGATGCTCTTTAACTTCTTCTCAGGCGGTTCCCAAGAGTTTGAGGGCACACACTATGGATGCATTCAGTGGTCTCAGAGGCACTGACATGCAAATCTGAAGTGGGCAGTGCTGTTAAATTATGTGCTTGTCCATAACCCCCAAAGATCTTTTACTTAGTCCCACAGAAATGTTTGTGATCCGTGGTTTTACACTGCCAATTTCCTAAAAGATACCAGCATCACACAGACAGTAAGATAACATGAGACAGTCATGGTAAGTGGTCTCTTACCACGGGGTGAGCTGCTCTCTGTGGATGTGTGTCTCTTTTCATGGCTACTGGGAGAGCCAGATCATGTGTTCAAATTGGCCACCTAACTTTTCATAGAACAGATAAATCCCACCTAGTCCCATCTGATTGCTGTCACAGCTGTACTGCTCTGGAGCAACACAGGAAAAAATTGCCCCAAATGAACCTACCTGCCATTACTCCAGATGCTCTTCCAAATCATGCCTCTTCTCAGCAGCCTGAGTTGGACTTGGATTCCACTGGATTCAAGGTGCCCTTCTTTTCCTTTGAGGGACACCCAGCTGGGCATTCTTCACTGTCCCTGGTGGTTTTTGCTGGGACAGGACTGATCTCACGATGGTCAGATCCAGTCCTTTGCCCTTGCAAACAGCCCTGCTGCACCCCTCTCCTGAGGTTTTCCTCCCCTCCATGCACTCACACACGTAAACACACAACTTTACCAGTTCTAGCAAAAATTAAACGGAGGAAAAATTAAAATTAAACTGAGTTGTTTGGTGCCACCAACATGAATATATCAGAACACAACTTGTATTTCAGCTGAGCAGAATTTTGTTTGGCACAACTAACAACATACCCATTTCCTCTTAGCTTTTCAATTTAGTTATTCGATCAGGAAGCACCATCAGAAGAACAAAACCAATTTCTTTTCTATGCAATTTCTGATTTTCTGGATTATATGTATAACAATAATTAAAACCACCTAAAAATTGCATGTTTCCCTTTACAGGCAAAGCTAAAGAAAATAAAGAAGCAGGGACATAGTAATAGTCATTATTTTATTGTATCCTTTTATGATACTGACTAGAACGCCAGATTTAATAATATTGGATGCAGGTATAAAAATAATCCAATCCTTAAAAATTATATTTTGCTACTACAGTACTGTATAATTAGTGGAGATTGAAAATATGATACAACTTTAAATAATACTGGTTTGGAAAACATCCTCAGAACCCCAGAGACTTGGAAGCAAACATTCAGAGACAGAGGAAAGGGAGTGGAGCAATGTCAAGAACATAAAGCAGGTTTACATTCAAGTTGTAAAGAAGAACAAATAGATGCTGAAAATTTATCTTTTGGAAGAGAGGTCACAAAAGGTGAACTTTACTGCTGCTATTCTAAAAGCTGCTTAAATAAATCGTTATGATTTTACACACCAAGTTTCACCTTCCGCTAGGAGAAAGTCCTGTAGAATTTAATGGGTTTAGAGCAAATTACTGAGTTTAACAGAACAGAATTTCCTTTAAAAATGAAGGTAGTAAATATTTATCCTGTTGAGCTTCTTTTTTTTTTTCTTTAAAGCAAACACATCCTAGTAGATTTCATTGAAGACTTTTTATGTCCAGCAAATTCTACAGCCACATTCAAGAGAAGCGATCAGTGTTCACTGTATTCCACAGGACTTTTCCATACAGGATTCTGCTGATCTGGGGGCTGCGTGCTGCAGTCATTAACCCAAGTAAGACTCCCATCCCTTCTAGCATTTTATTGAAATAGAGAATGAATGACTTAGCATTTCAATACCACCTTGGAGGAACATCAGGCACCCTTGCTAGGTGCTCTCTCAACAAGGATATTATACAACACAGACTAAACACACAAGAGGTGTCATCCCACACTCAACCTCACAGTACTGAAGTCACACTTCTCCAGAATAAGTAAGCATATACTTTTTTTTTTTTTTTAATTTTGGTACTTCTTAATCCTTCATGAATTTCTCTCCTGCTTTTCAATTTCAGCAGCTCAAGGGAATGAAGAATTAAATGTACATTGAAAAGGTACCAAACTCTTACAAGCATATAGGACATACCCATTCTGAAACTAGAAGATCTTGCTTAATTTCTAACGGGACAGGCAAGAGTGATCTGCAGAGCAGTTGATATGTGTGACAGCAGGAAGCATCTCTATATCCCTAGATATTACATGAAAGAAGCTGGCTGACCAGTAAAACAACTACACAAAATTCACAGTCATTCTCTTCCCAGGAAACTGTTTCAGATCTTGAAGCTGTTTTGTTCATTCTCGCATAACACAGGTCCTGCTACAGTAATAAGTATGCTTTAAAAAGAAGATAGATACAACATGGAAAGGCAAGAACAGTATCACAGAAATATAGAGACAGAGCCATGGGAAAGCATGTACTACACACAAGTGACCCTGGTGGTGGAGTAATTCAGGCCTGAAAAAGAACTTTGCAGTCCATGGGAGAATTACCCCAGTCACTGTAGGGATGCTGGACTTCATCCTTTGTGTGTAAAGAGGAAAAAACATTAGTAAGCATAGGAAGAGCATTTAACTAAAATGCATCTGTTCTTGTTAATTTAAAGAAGAAAGCTAAAGATTACTATTAGGGAATGAAAATTCCAGCTGGATTTGGAATGGATGTGACCATTGACCAGCATCAGAGACAAATCCCAGGAAAGCAACTCGATGTATCTGCAGCAGTGTCCAAACCCACTCTGTGCTCATTCAGGTCCCAGCAAACAATCTGTACAAGTATCAGCACAAACTATTTCACAATGATAAATACCTCCCTCTAACTGTAATTTATTGCTGTTTTTAAAGCCTTTTACTACCCTGCAGTGTGGAGGCAGATAACTTTCATAAGGCTGTTCATGAGTGGTAACTCAGTACATGACTGTGCCAGTGGGTCTTATGGGAAATGCCACTAGAGCAATGGGATTTATTGCTGCTATAAAACCTAACAGTTCCAGTGTGGGGGAAAACCTGGCCTGCTTTTTCCACTTATAGCCCAATTCAGTGCTGTAATGTTTCAACAGTGTGAAAAAATCCTGATTTCCAGTGCAGCTGGAAGAACTGGTCAGGGCAAGCAGCAGGACACAGGAAGACTGTATGTTCAAGATGCCTTTTGAAAGATTCCTCAAATCTGTGTTTTGCTGATCAGGTCACTGGGACTGCCTCTCCTATGCTTTCAGGGGTATTTTTGTGGGTAAGGCATCTTGTCAATATAATTGGCAGAGCACCATAGCAACAAACACATGCCTCTCACAGTTTTTCCTGTCAAGCAATAGAATTAGCATTTTTTTCCAAATTTAATTAAAAACACAACCACACAACTGCCCATGGGTCATTGCTGACTGTTCCCCTCACTTTCCACAGCAGCCAGGAGCAATAACAGATTTATGAGCAGTGTTGGTGTAGTCTTTCTTCCTTTCCCCGCATCTGACTGAACTACTTGCATTCTCCATACCAAAAACATGCTGCTTCCCTCCTATCCTCTCACATAGTGGAGAGTGATTCCCCTTGGCAAAATCATCCAGTGTGCTCAAAATTTTCAATTTGGGGTAGCTAGAAATAATCTAAAAGAGAGATGGGAAATAATTTGCAGTATTTAGACATCCTACAGGGAGTTAGGTTGTGAACAGAGAAGCATCTGATTCTGAAAGTGGGCTTGAGGGCACATAGAGACCCTTCTTATACCCAAGAGGAAAAACAAGCCCCACTCCACTGCCAAAGGGTGCTTTGTTCATGGCAGACACAGAGAGAATCCTGGTGGCAGCTTTACACAGAGACAACCTGCACTGAAGCACTGCCCACATCCCTGCTGTGGCTGGGCGAGTCTGTAAAACTGGGGTGAGGCAGTGAACACTGCAGTAAAGCAACCATCATAAATTGTGACACAGTACAGTGCACTGCACCCACCCCTTCTGTCCCAGTGCAGCTGGGAGCGAGTGGTGCCTGCCTGAAGACAGAAGCACTGCAGCACAGGCTGCAGCTGGGCTGGTGGAGACCCAGGGGCTGAATCACCCCAGGCTGCCTCTGTCACCTTCCCAAAAGCTTCCTGGTATACTGGAGGGGGAAGCACCTGCACTCATCTGGGTGTTGACTCATCCTGCCTAAACCCCTCTCTTGCCTGCAGGCAGGGCCTCCTAAGACATCCAGAGGAGGTGTGGCAGCTCAGGAGAGACCCTTTTCCTTCTCCTTCTGTGGACTGTGCATTGGCTCTGAGACTCTTTTCTTACCCAAGCCACATAGAAGGTCAGGCTGCAATGGATAAATCCACATAACAAATGCCCCAATATTTACCTGCATTGGGAGAGAGAAAATTTCAGTGCAATAACACTCTTTCAGAAAATTCCAAGTTTTGCAGTCCTCACTCACAAAATCCTGCTGGATTTACTGAGACTCTTTCCCTCCAGATACAATTCAAGAAGAATTTGAAGACTGTTAAGTTATTAAAATTATTACTTGCAAAGTTTTGTGTGCTCTCATTAGAAATAGTCCTATCTCAATTCCAGTCAAATCCCTTGCAATTTGCAATGTGCTGGGAGATACAGACCAGAAGTTTTGTTCATATACTCTTTGTGCAGAAGGGCTGATCTGCAATTGAGTTGGTGTGCCATACTTTGCCTTGGTAGTTGACATGCAGGAGTTCATCTCCTGGTCTTTGACCTAACCAAGCAGTTAAACATCTCTGCCTATCAGCATAGGCCTCAATGCTTCCCCAGCTGAGGACATGCTGGCATGGGTAAATCATGGGATTCTTGTGATTGCTGGGACACGTCCTTATCACAAGCTGCTTCACTGAAAAGGAACAAAGTCCAGTCTATAGGCTTTGGATTTAGATTTAGCATGAATTGCATTTTCTTCTTTTCTTTTGTAACAAAAACATAGCTCTGCTCCATACTGTGGGAAAGGCAGTCCTTTCTGTCCTGGATGAAAACTCTGATCAGCATGGCAGGGAACAGCTAATTCTTGTGCTTTACCTGGTATAATACTATGGACACTGTAAGTAGAGCTTTCCTTAAATACAGTTCCTTTAGGCAGCTGTACTTCCCATGAGCATCTATTCCTTTCCCCCTACAGCTGAGATCAGCTGTGCGTTACCAGCTGCAAGGCTGATTATGGATCAGACAGGTGTGAAGTTGCATGCATTGTCACCAAAAGGTTGTGTAAGTGCAAAGGGTACTGCCCTAGGTGTCCATAAAGCTCTGTTTCTCTGCAAGCTCACACTGCTGCGTCTACACAGAAGACAAGAGTGGAGGCATAAAAAAGACACTGTTTGTGTGCTGTAGCTGGTGCACCTAACTGTGCCTTCTCAAGCACATCAGTGGCTCCTTTCCTGTCTTGAAGTTTTGAGAAAACAAGACAGACGTGAGCAGGGACCAGAAACTTCTAGGCCAACATAGCTTATAATTGCCTGTTGCTGTCTCACTTCCCTCTGGATACCTGTTACTGATGTTTGGTAAGGAACACAACAGCCTTTAAAGTGCTGGGAAAGGATCTGGGAATTCACACCTTCTGTAGGATGCAAGCATCTGCTCCCTGATGGAGAGCTCCTCATCGCCCCAAGTTTGCCTCCGGTGAGCAGCCACACAATACATGGGCATCTGAACTGGGGTTAGGCACTTTGGGGGATGCACCCCGTGATCCTCAGTGCTTCAGTGAGCTGAGCTACTTATTTGTAGGCACTGTGTCTTTTAAAGCATGGTGGGGGAGAAGGGAATATCAGTTTATGTACAAACTACAGATATGGTGAGTTAGTGACGAAGGAACTGTGCTATTTGTTATCCTTATACAAGCAGCCACCTTGAATTAAAAGCACATTCACATTCAAGAGGAGAAACCAAATCTGGACCTTGTATCTAAACAGGCTTTGGGTGACTCAGATTAACAGTGCAGTAAAGATAAGTGGCAAATATACTTAATGATATTTAATTATATTTCCCGCATACGAGTTGGGGCAGTCCCAAGCACAAATGTTGGAGAATAGAAAGTAGCCCAGAGGACTTGATGTGTTGGTTGGCGAGAAGCTCAACATGACCCAGCAATGTGCTCTCACAGCCCAGAAAGGCAATTGTGTCATGGGTAGCACTAGAGCAGGCTGGGGAGGGGATTCTCTGTCTCTGCTCTGCTCTCCTGAGACCCCACCTGCAGTGCTGTGTTCAGGGGTCCCATAAGAAGATATGAGGCCAGAGGAGGCCACGAAGATGCTCAGAGGCTGGAGCACCTCTGCTATGAAGACAGTCTGAGAAAAGTTGGGGCTCTTCAGCCTGGAGAAGAGTAGGCTCCAAGGAGACCTTAGAGCACCTTCCAGTAACTAAGGGAGGCCTACAAGAAAGCTGATTTTCGCAAGGTCATATGGGGATAGGACAAGGGAAATGATTTTAAAGCGAAGAAGGTAGATTTAGATTCATTACAAGAAAGAAATTCTTCATTGTGAGAATGGTGAGGCACTGAAACAGGTTGCCCAGAGAAGTTACCAAGTGTTCAAAGCCAGATTGGATGGGCCTTTGAGAAACCCGGTCTAGTGGAAGGCATCCCTGCTTATGGCGAGGAGTTGGAAAAAAAATATCTGTAAAATCCCTTCCAACTCAACCCATTCCATGGTTCTGTGACTAGTAAGATCTCTTCCAACACTCACTTTAAGTCAGAACACAGTCCATGAGTTTCAATCTGATCTTTGGTGAGACATGCAATAACTTACATTCTCCAGCTTCTGCTAATATGAATGAACACACCTGGGTGAGGAAACTTGCCTGGTCTGAGTCACTCGAAACTAGGATGGAAGAAAGAAAAACACTTCAACATAAGTGATCTTTGCTATGCTAGGATTGCAAGCATCATGTTTTTCTCTTTCTTAAATGCAACTGACTGCAGTAAGCCCTCTTTTTCAATGCACTGAAAGTCTCCACAGTGCCTACAAATTCAAGGTGGACTGTGGAGGTTTGAAATCCCACCTTCATTGCCCAGAATTCAGATTCCTCTGCCCAGCCAAGGCTATAGCATTATTACTCCTTCACAGAATCCAAATAAAAATCATTCTGAAGTCACAGATCATCTTCTTCTTCCCTGTGAGTAATTATTTAATATTGTATTGCTGTGTCTATAGGCATTTAAATCATTGCAGGGAAACAGAGCCCCAAAGGATCCCAAATGGAAGCACCACGATAGCATGTAGTGGCATCACTTCTGAACAATATTGGTTGACAAAACAACAACATTCCCTATATACAGAAGGTTTTCAAAGCAGCACAGAGGAACAACTGTGCCTTTTTTCTGTCAAAATTGCAGTGGTGTGACCAACCTTCCTGCACTCCTTGGAGACAATCAACCCATGAATTCAGCCAATATTGCCAGACACTGGGTTTTGGCAAGGACTCGGGAATCTGGAGAACTTTTACCAATACAAAGGCTAGGGCCAGAAGACAAGCCAGGTTTCCATCCTGCACGAAGCTGACAGCAAGGCAGTGGTCTAAAATGGAGAGGACAAACTTGCCTGACCAAAAGCAATTGCACAGTGAAGCTTTGCGTGAAGGCTGGCTAGGAAGACAAGCACAGTCAACAGTGAACGAGATCTGTAAACAAGACACTCCCTAGTGGTATTCAATGCAGAGTGCTGGGCACAGTTCATCTGCCTGTACTGATCCATGCTTGCCCATGTAACGCCAAGAATGAAGAATGAAAAAGGAGTACACGTGTTAGCTTCCCACAGGGTCTTTTAGTGATGTGCTTCTTGAGCCATTCCCTTCTCTTCCTCCTCCTCTCTGATGCTCAGCAACTGTGACCGTCCCTCAGGGCAGCAATGCTCAGCATGAAGTTCAAAGTCCTTCCTGTTAAATGGGAAGAGTAAGACTGATGTGGCCTCAACTACCCAGGAGACAGATTGTACCTGGGAATTAAGGGCCACACAACTGTGTCAATCTTCCACTCCCTCTCCACTCTTTGCTAAAAATAGTCTCTTCTTCTGGTTTCATCACTAATGAAGGATGGATTGTATTGTCCAGGGTAGATGCATGAATGTCGAGATCCAGGCAAACCAGTGTAGGGAGGATAAAGTCCATTTCTTTCCAGTTCAGGATTTCTTAGTCCAGTTGGCTGTATTAGCAAAAAAAAAAAAAAAAGGAAAAAAAAGTCTTATTCTCACACTCAAATCCTCCTTCAGGCTTCAGGCACAGCCTTACCACATTTCTTTGCTGTTGGTTCAGTAGCTAGAGGGAACAATGGGATATCTAATGATCTCTATAATCTAGAATGATTTTTGCGGTATTGCCTGAAGGTATTATTATGATGCAATCTAATTTCAACATCTGGCCAATGAACAGACTTGAAGCTTACCTGACTCTGCCGAGTGCAGTCCAAGTACACAGTTAATTTTTAATTAAAAAAAAAAATCTACTGCTGAGTTCAGGTATTGAAACAACTCTCATTAAAAGGATATTGTCCCAGAGCCATCCTTAAAGGAGACAATTATAGAAAATCAAAGGTAGTCTTCTGCTTTGAATATTACCTGGGCATTTCTCTCCCCATTTACCATAGGTACCTCCTCTCCCAAGAGAGGAGAGGCCCTTGAATTATATGTCAAATACAAAACAGTCTGACCTTCCTTTTTCTTCCCTTCTTGTAACTAAGTAAGACTCCTGGGGACGCTTGGTGGAGGAACACTGTTGTCTAAGATCAAGTCTGTACAATCCTTTCACCCAGTGAATAACATGAAGCCTCTTGGTCTAATCTGTTACAGAGCAGATCCATGCAAAACCTCATCACCTACTGCTTGCTAAAAAGTTTCCATTTCTAGTTCCCAGCATAATGAGAGTCTTTAAAAAAAATCAGGAAATGCATTTTCATTTGAAATATCTCATTCTTAGTGGAAGTATGAAGGAGAATAGTTTGACTCCATGCTGTGCAACCCAGTAAATTTGCTCACTGAAAAACTTAAAATATAAGCCAGGAAAATAGTAACACTCTCTGCTCTGGAAAGCAAGGAGACCAGAATGTGTGATTTGGGTGAAATCCTGTGACTTTCACTCTCATGAGTAACCCACACACACCTTAAGTACATGTTGCTGAAAATGAGTGACAGGCGATACAGCAGCACCACAGCTCTGGATACAGCCATTAGCAGATGGTACCAACCATGACATAACAACTTGTGCTGGTGTCTTTCTGTGCCCTACACAGCCTATTACTCCTTATTCCCTCAGAGCTGAAGGGATGCTCCTTATGTACCCTGCAGAGGGAAGGAATGGAGGAAAAGAGGAGTCCTCAGTGACAGCATCTTCCTATTTGGGGGCAAAGTTCCCCAGACAGACGTTTCAACCTTCCACTTCATCAGTGAGGGTGGACAGGAGAAAACTGCTAAAAGGAAACCCTAGGAGTTTATCCAAAACCTTTAACTATCCTTCTCTACTCTAGGATTGGGATTTTTGGGCATTTTTATCAAAATATTCCTAGACCTTTCCTCAGCATTCTTCCTAATGATATGTCTTTGTGATGTTCACCACAGGTAATAGCTAGAGCCCATAGGACTCCTCAAATGCCTTGCTATGGAAGACATTTGCTTTGCTCTTTTATCTTGCAGGAAAGGGATCTGCACTTCCAAAAATAAAGGAATATCTCTTTCCTGTATGAGGCACAAAGGGTTAAAAATTAATCTCTGGATAGATACCGAATAATACACATCTGTCATCTGCAACAGGTTCTTGGTGCTTCCATTCTCCTGCATCTCGATGGTCTCTCTGCCCCACTCCTGTGCCCGGGGATTCTTCGGATATTCAGCATAAGGTGACATCTGGAAATCCCCACTCTTGAAAATCAGTTTACTTATGTCATTTTTATTCTTCCTGTTTATAAAAGAATGAGGGAAAGTGAAAACTTACAACTTATCCTGCTATCTTGTGTACACTTCTGACATGATCTCAGTAGAGATCATTACTTGATGTTACGAGTCTTGACTGGGAACAAAGATCACCTCAGAAGGACTGTAGTCCAGTCATCTGCTCTGAAGCCAAATCAGATATGAAATCAGATCATGCAACTCAGGGCATTATCTGGTGGGATTTGAAATCTCCAAAGTTACATGGCAACCTCCCTCAGCAACCTGTTCCACTGCCTTACTGCTCCCTTGGTGAAAGGATTTTTCCCTACATTCAGTTTGATCCCCTCTGTTCCAACTTGTTCCAGCTATGTCCCTTGTCTCTTAAAAACATGTGTGTTCATCTGAATCAATGAAGAAATCATGGAAATTGAGGAAGAAAAACATATAGGAGCCCCCATGCTATTAACTATAGCACTTGTAGACACTATGTTAATTCCTAAGAAGGAAGGCCTGCAAGGAGCTGACCTGAGTGACACCAAATGTCCCTGCAGGATTATAATGGTTAATGAGTGAACTTTGGTGATGCTTCCAGTTCAAAGCAGAGTATCCTCCAGGAAGTCACATAAGCTGCCCAAGGCCAGGACTCATGAGAAAATCAGTCCACCCCTGTGGAGATCTGTACTCTGGGCTGCCTCATCTCCTGGCTGGGGTTTGTGCATCCCCCTGGCTCAAAATATCAGGTAAAAGGGCCACAATCAAACCACTGCCACATCTATATTACTGATAAATCCAGTTGCCCACTTTATCAGAGAGCTTTGAAATCCTAGATTTGGGGACTGGAATGGTGGGGAGAGGATGTTACTGCAAGGCATCCCTTTTCAGATTACATAAATCAGGAAATAGAGCTTCCTAGGCAAGTACATCTTGTCCAAAGCTACCTCCTGGTATGGGAACGAGGTGTGTATGTGTGTGTGTGTGTGTGTGAGGGGGAGAGACACAGAGTGAGAGCACATGCAAGAAAATAGCCTTAACTACACTCAAACAACACTTCAGCAATGGCAAGTAGCCTCTCCTGTTGCTTAAACTGCTCCTTTCAACTTAGCTTGCACTTTTGGAGTTTGCTTCCTGGCTTCAGAGCCTTACAACTCTGTGTGGGAAGGACTCCCCTGCTTCTCCATCCTTAGAGGATATGATTTCTATGTGTACCTTTAAGAGACACCCAGTCCATTGTTTAGCCTGACTGCTGGGGGAAAAAAAAAATTAAAATTCTCCAAATGAAAGCACAGTGGGATACTTCAGTATCTCAGATTAACCCACTTGCTTAGCCTATGTTTTCACCTATGTTTTGGTCCTTAGCTATGCTATGTTTTAGTCCCTAGGAGTTCACACGGGAGCTCTGAGTGTGGTGCAATGCACGGGGAGGATGGCCAGGCGGAGCCGGGCTGGCAGCGGTACGTACCGGCAGCAGGTGACGATCAGTGCTATGCCCATGATCAGCAGCAGCCCCCCTCCTGCAGCTGCAATCACCACCGTGATGAGCTGGTACGCTGCAGACGGGAGAGACAGAGGCTGAGGAACAGCAGTGTGGTTGTAAACCCATGTAACATATCCAGAGTCCCCGTGCCAAGGGATTAGCTGCTTATTTCCTACCTTCTCAGTTCCCCATAAGCAACATAGCCTTAAATTTTCAAGTGAAATGGAAACAAGTTCTTGTTTCCCTAAGGAATAGATTGCCTTCACTGATAGGTCAGAGCAACTCAAATATCTTGCTTTAGGAATGCTCAATATATGTGCTATCCTGACAGACTATGCAGGGAAAGGAGATCTCCTTTCCTTAGATGACATTAAGTCAGCTTTGCGAAAGAAGGTCCACAACAAAATGACTTTTAACAGAAAATGAAGGAACAAAAAGCACTGAAAAAAGTAGCCTGTACCTACTTCATTTTAGACACAGTCACTTGCAATTACTTGTTTCAAATCTCCTACTTCTGACACTGTAGAAAATAAAAGTAATGAAATGTGGTACTCACGGTTTCCACAGTTGAATCCACCCAAGCCAAAGGGGCAGCTGGGAACAGAGAACAACAGGGAGTTTCAGCAGCTCAGTTGTGCCAACAGGTCACCAGAGCAAGGATGGTGGGGTAGGAGGAGGGCAGAACAGTCACCATACCTCACGCAGGTCTCGTTTTCCAGCTTGTATCCATCTTCGCAGGCTGAAAGCAGAGAGAAGGGCCGTGAGCACCGCGCCGTGGAGCCGGCAGGGATTTCCCAGCGCCGCTTCCACGGCGGCCTCGCCTCCAGCGCCCGCGGCTGCACGGCAGGAGCGCCGCGCACCGGGATGGGGGCTGGATGTCCCCTGGTTTGGGGAAAACATCGTGCACTTAAGGTGAATAAGGACAATAATGCCTCCTGCTGACTTTAATGGAACCATTTCGGGGCTTTCCAAGCAGAGCCAGTTTGGAGCCCGGCCCAGGGAGGGCTGCTGGCAATGTCATTCCCAGCAGAGCCTCTTGTCCAAATGAAAACTCACTGCACATTGTACTGCTTCGCACAAAAATGTAAAAAAATCTGCAAGTACCTCCAGTTTTCATTTTGAAAGCCCATTTAAACTATGCTACTTTAGCATTGGTTCGTGTTACTAATTACTTTTAAATGTTAGTACCGCACAAGATGTTATGCAAACACAGTCAGGGTAACCTGAAGTGAGATGCTAATGTTTTTTTGGTCATGTCACTTTTGCTCCAGATCTTTCAAATTTGCAGCTAAATCAAATTTTGAGACATTGTATTTTACTATACAGTAGAAATTGAATTTATTAGGTCTAAATAATCCAGAAAACTGCTATGTGCAAAATGTTGGTGAAAAACTGGAACCATCATTTCAAAATAAAATAATTTCTGTGCTTATGGACAGCTATCCTATATTATCTGAGGAAATTATACTACCCTTCTGATGAACAGCAAAGGGGATGATACATTGGGCACACAACTATAAGGTTCAAATTACTGATAAGATTACTGCTTTTCTCAGCAATAGTCCCACCAGAGCTCTGGCAGATCTGCTGCCTTTCACAGAGGTAGTGAAGGCGGTCACTCAAAGGTGTGGGCAGGAGTGACACAGACAGAGTCACTCTGGGCACAGGGACAACCAGGCAGCAGCCCTTGGGGTCTGCAAGACATCACCCGAGGGTCTGGAAAACCCCCATAGCACATTCCACAGGGAATTGTTCAATGAAAACAAAAATGTTCATGGATTTTTCCCTCCCTCAAACACTACTTGCTTAAAACTGTCACAGAATTTCCCTAAATTTAATTCCAGTTTCAAATCAAGTAGTTGGAGCTGCATTTTAGAGAAACACCCAAGACTGATTTTAATATTGTCAGTAACAGACAATCAACCACAGCACTGGAAGCTCACAAAATTAATTTTCCTCAGCCATTAAAAACATTCACCTTCTTTCTGGTCTAAATTACTCCAGTGTCATATTCCAGACTCTGGATGTTTACTTTTTAGATTGGAAAAGGTTATATGATCACATTTGTCCTTCTCACCACCAAATCACTCCTTTAAGCCAAGGCAACTGAGATCTCTGAGTCTCCCCAATTATTGCAGCTCTTCTCTGAACACTCGCAGGTTCTCTCTGACCCTTTTGATTTCTAGTTCCCAGAAATAGATGTTGCAAGCCTAGGGATAACAAAATGTCCCATCTTCTGCCTACCTCACATCCTCAGGATGCATGGACACGGAAGAGTGCTGCACTCCCATCACTTCTGTGGCTGTGGACACAGACTTGGTTTAGCAAGTGTCACCAGTGATGGTGGGAGGGCTGATGTCCACAATACCTGGTCTTGCACACCTTTCTTTACCCTGTGTAGCCCCACTACTCCTTCACCACATCCCTCATTCCATTTAATTTTTCCAGAGCTGGGGATGGGGAAGGTGACGCTCATTACACAGCCTCCCTGCTGCATCACGCTGTGATGCTTTTTTTGTCACTAGATATATTTTTCTGCCTCTAAGATGATTTCTTTGAAATAAAGGAAGAGAGTAGAGGTAACTGTGAAAGAGTTAAGAGCCCCAGTCAGCAAACAAGCAGGGCAAGGATAGTAAATCCCAAAGAATCCTCGCCTGGCTCATTCATCTCACTGGGGCATTAGCTAAAGGAGACTGGATGGGTTGTTCCGTTCACTTGCTAACAAAAGCAGACTGAAAATATTATGGAGTGAATGTTCCACCACAGGATTGGGCAGTAACAAAATGTGCAGTGGAAGGGAGGGAGGCATCACCTCAGAGCTCACTGGAGTTGCCTTCTCTAATGAGCACAGCAGCCCCAGCTCCATCCCAGCACCTGCATGTTGGGAATGCCTGCAGGAGCAGGCAGACAAGTGCTGGAGCCCCCTCTAAGCTCAGCCCTAGCCCAGGAGTGTGTGTGTGGCACATACACCTGGAGCAGTTTCAAAGCTGGAGCTGTGCCATGGGCAGGAGCAGCCCTGGGACCCTGCTGGCACACAGCTCTCAGGTCAGGAGGATATTGGAGCAGAAAAGAGGAAAAGCAAGATCCTGAATATGCATTTCTCTCTCTTATTTAAAAATTTGATGCTTATGTATTTTCCTCTCCTCCCTGTTTCTTTTCCTGCCACTTTGCTTTCTCCTTTGGCATCTTTGCTGCTCCTTTGAACACGTGCCCAGGAGAGCTCTCACTGTCACACTCACTTGGCAATATTCCAAACACAAGCAAGGAACAGAGGAAAGACCCAAGTGTCAGGGGCCAAGCAAAGCTATCAAGTTGTGCTCTTCAACCTAGGATTCCTTTGCCTTCCCAAAAGACATTCAGGGGTCTCTTTGGAAACCTGCTTTACTGCTCCTTCCTTCACTCCAGAAAAGCTCTGTGCCAGTAAAAATAGCATGCCCTTGAAAAGCTGGCACACTGGGTTTGCTGCTCTGTCACTGAAATAGCCCTGAAGACACTGAGAAGGCTGAGAATCAGCAGTGACCCACAGACACTGAACAGCAGAGCCAGAGGTACCCTGGCCAACCTGCTGGACCGCCGGTGGCTCAGAGACCCAGCCCTTCCCTGGCCCATGGCAAGCTTTCCCAAGCATGGCCCTGAGGACAGATGCTACCAGGAGAACAAATCCTGTGGGTCAGGGCAGCCAGTTTTCCCAGCCTTCCCACGGGGGAGACCGGACAGGGCAGCACAATAGCCATTTCCCTCTTTGCAAATACTATAATTGGAGCCACTACACCGCATTTTCACAACCCACAATGAGGGTCGGATGCTCACGAGACCTCAGTTCCTGTTTAGGCACTAAAAGGGCAGAGATTTTCATAGAGGCTGGTATATTGTGTGCTATATTTATCAGGAAAATAGCCTTAAATATCAAAATGGGGCCCGTAACTTGGCTTTTGGAAAAGCCTTTAAAAATCCCAATGACCTGGCTTGCCCAGATGGGCACAAGTGATAATGAAAATCTGGCCAGAGAATGGCACCATGCACTTTGCTGCCCTCATGTCTCTGCACTGCAGCCTAAATCCAACATCAGTCCTGTCCCCCAGACACTCTCAAGCTGATCAATAAGATGTTTCCTACTGACAGCAGTGAGATGAAGGTGGAATTGAGGCCTCCCTGTTTACAGATGAGTTTTTTTTATTTTCCACAGCAAACAAGTTTCATAAGTAATCACACATACGAGGTCTTAGATCTCTTAGCCCTCTGCAACCATTATACCCAAGTGCCTCACAGCCTTTCAGGTATTTATCTTCACTACTTGGCAAGAGACATGAACAAGACAAATGCAGTAACTTTCCCTGGGTCCCCACTGTCCATGATGGAACAAGAATTGGGTAAAAACCTCTCAAGTTTCAGCTCAGCTCCTCACTCACTACATAAGCCCTTCTCTGCCTCTCTAGGGTTGGTGGAGATGCTCAATATTTCCCCAAAAAATCCTTCCTCCTACATACAAGATATGGGGAAGGGAGGAAAACACAAAGGGAAAGGTGAAGTGAAGGAGAGGCAGGGCCATGACGTGGCAAGCAGAGATGCCCATCTCTGAGCTGTCCCTCCCAGAGTCTGTAGCACATTAATTATTTCCAGGCATATTTTTCTCACTCTCAGATTTGGAACTGACAAAACATCTCCGCCTATGTCAAGAGCAACCCAGCAGGCATTGCCAGAAGCAATATATTACTACTGCAATTGTTATTGATATGTAATCAGAAAAGCCTTACTGCAACCACAAACTAGGGAATGGACACCCTGTTTCTCCAGAAGTCATTTGGAACACTGGCACATAAAGATTTTGTTTAAAATGCAGCAGAACCAGATTTGTTGATCTGAGGAGTAGCTAAAAAATAACACGATCTTTAAGCTTAAAATTTCTATTTGGAACCCAGCTGAAAAATAAATTCATAATCATTTTCATTTACAAATTTTTAAAATAATGATGATATATTAATATAAGCTTTTGAGTTTAAAGCTCTTCCCCTAAGTTCACTGAGAGTTCAGGCAAAATCAAAACAGGCAGAGACACACGTCATCTCTGCTCTGTGCCACTGAACTGGAGCCCGAAGCAGCCAGGCCCCTTTCTCCCTCACCTCAATCACTGTAACTCACAGCATGCCCCAGAAAGAGATAATATTATTCCTAGAGAGAGACTGTGTCTTCAGTGTCTGCTGAAAAACCCCCTAACTAAATAAAAGAAACTTGAGCTGCTAATATTTATTCATAATATTGAGTGCTTGCATGCAGAGCGCTACATGCACACACTCATTTCCACACTGGAACAGAAACTTTGAGGAAAATTCATGCAAAGTACACCCCATGAAGAGCAATACCTCTGCAGGAGTGGTCCATCTTGTTGTATTTGAAGTACCCACTTTTGCACTGGCAGAGAGCGACTCCATCGAAGTCGGTGCATTCTGAGGTTTCCTTGTCACATTCAGGGTCCTTCTGTCTGCACAAGCTGCCAGCTGTTGGGAAGAGGTGCCCAACATCAGCATGGTTCTCTCTGAACCCACCATTATGCACATTTGCTTTCCCTGGGCATCCCATTCAGCTGATGTGCTGCTTTAATATTTTTCTTTTTTTTTTTTTTTTTTAAGTACTTTCTGTTTCATTAGGAGGGAGTCAACATTACCCTATGTCACCAATTCTTGTGTGTTTACCATCATTTGTACAGGCAAATAGAGGGGGTGAATAATAAATGTTTCAGTTCGGAAGCAGAAGGGGAAATGAAAAAGAGAAATCTGGTTTGGCTCAAGCTCAGACACATTTATCCCCTGACACAGTTCAACAAATCAAGTTTTAAGTTTATATCAAGCAAAACATTTTGCTTACACCAAACCAATTCTTTTCCATTTCAGTATTAAGCACTGGATTTTTTCATTTTTCAAAAAAAAATTTGTACTTTCATTTACATTACTTTGAAGCAGTGTTTTAATTTAGAAAGTCAGACTTGTTACAATGAGCATTCAGCAAAACTGGATAAATGGTGGAAATTGTGACATCAAATTTATATTTTTACTGAGAGGTCAGGCTAAATGGAATTAATAAATATTTGTGAGAAATAGGATTTTGTGGAAAATATGTCATTCATTTGGCACTCTCCTTTTATAAACCTTTCCTTGCTAGATTATTTTTTTTTATCTGACATGTTTTTTTCTAGGTACTTACACAGGAATATGATTTGTTTCTTACTCTGCTTATTTCAAGTTAGAAGTTGACTTTACAGAAGCACTGTATCAGAGGTAATGGGTAGGTAGAATCTGAGCAGGTTTACCCAAATAATTTAAAGCAATCCATGGGCAGAGTATGGCTTTAAAACACAGCCCATTGCAATAAAAGCACACATTAAACTTCTCATCTGCATGTTTACTTTGCCAGAATATTACTGGGGGTTTCCCACTAAACCCAGGCTAAGCGTTGCCACCCTTAAAGCCTTGAACCCAGAAGTCATAAAACACCACTTGCAGCAGTTTCCTTGCAGGTGCCCCTCTCAGATAAATCTCCTCCATCACTCCCTCAGGAAGTGAGGGCTGGGAGATGCCAGGGCTCAGCACTGGGGTCCACCTGGAGAAGGTCACACACAACACTGGTGTTCTTCTCCACGTCTTTCTGTGCTGCACCCACATTGCCCTTGGGCAGATAGAGGAGTCAGTGCAGAAATCACAGCTCTCACTAATTGTGAACATTTTACAGCCTGCAACACTGGAACTGGGCAGGCAGGAGAGCAGAGCTCGCCCTGCAGCCTCCAGCAGCTCTAATCAAGTTCTCCAGCAGGGTTTTGTCTCTTGGCTTTCACACCCTTTCCCTGGTTCCCAGCCGCGCGTGTGAAATCAAGACTTATGGTTTTTTGATCTGGCTGGGCCCAGTGTCACATCCCAGAGATGAAAGGCTGCCCTACAATGTCTCTAATCCTGTGCTGCACAATATTTTCACAGAGAGGCAGATTTCTCACACATGTGGCAAAGATAAGGCTTGGTATCTGCATCCCTTTTGTACTGGGAGGTTCTTAAGATGACTCCCATTTAAGTAAGATAAAAAGATACAGTGGGGGTTTTCCACATGAAAAAATATTGTCCCCCTTTTATAAAAGGAGCCAAATAAAACATCCTTTCCCCCTCCTGCCACAGTCCTTCCAGATGCTATTTACCTCTGTGGAGTAATTTCAGGCTTGATATGAACTGGCAGGCTTCAGTGGGGGATTTGCAAGCTCGAATGTAGCTTTTCACACTGCTGATAACATCGAAGAAAGTCACATTGGATGCTAAAGAGAACGTGGATTGCACTGAAACATGCACAAAATTTGTCTCCCTAAAAAAAACAAAAACAACAACAAAACAAAACAGCCCTGAGTATCACAGTTCAGGTTTGATGTCATCATTAGCACCATAAACATAGGACTGCTGTTAACACAAGAGATGCTTATAAGACATAGCACTACATGCACTATAACAGACCTTATAACCAGGGCTAGCCAATACACAGAGAGGAGAATATGGAGCTGGAAGGAATGCTGGTAGGTCACTTTGGAACCAGCCATAAATCCCTCTTGGGCAGCCCATCCCCAGGCTGCTCAGGACAGGAGGAGAATAGCAGATGAGCCTGGCAAGCTGGTCAGGCACTCCTCATGCCCTGTACCACTGCCAGCTGGTTTGCATCTAGCACAGCACTGGCTCAAAATGGAGAGTGTGGCTCTCAAGTTGAAGATCCCAAATGCTCAAGTTTCTCATTTTTCCCCTGGTAGTCTTAGCCTTACCTGCTTGCTTTAACTGTGGAGTGGTGGTATCCTGGCAAGCCTGACAGCGATGCATTGAGCTGCAAGGAGGGAGAGAGCAGCTGTTAGTGCCCCAAGGGATGATGGAAGGAGGCAGTCCCATGGGATGTAGCATGGGACAGTCCTCCTGGGTCACTGACACCATCCCCTGTGTTCCCCAGAGATGCCTGCTGAGACCAAGGGGCTCTGAGCATCCCAGAGGTTCATCTGCTCTGTAAGAGACATGCACTGCCCTGTTGTCAGTAAGGGGTGGACAAAGTCACCATTGCACAGCCTTGGACAAGAACAAAGCCCTGGGGACTTCAACATGAGCATCTGTCTGTGCCCTGCTGTACAATGACCACAAAGGTCAGAGATGAGCCAGGTGTCAGCAGGGAGAGAGCCCCATGCAAGGCCAGGCTCAAAGAGCACCCTTGGAGACTGCAGATCTTCCCTGACCCTGGATCTGTGCAGTTGTTTATATTTATTCCCCAGCACAAATCCACAGTGACTCCACCCAGCACCTCCTTCCTTTGGCAGTATCTCTGAATCACCTGCTCCAAAGAGCTGGAATGAAGTGCATCCAGCCCAGGAACCACTAACAGGATGAACTTGTGCATGCAGTGATCTGGATAAGAACTGCACAGGGATGTGCAGATGATCCCCAGCCCATGGGTCTTTTTGGAGCTATTGATGGCACAACACTGTCCAGCACTGGGTCTCAACTGTCCAAGAGCCACATGGCTAAAACTGAATGGTTGGGAAATGTGACAATCATAAGAGGAATTAAGGGGACTTGTCCCACCAGCACTGCCAAAGTCCCAGCCAGGACACTCACCACCTCCAGGATCTCCCTCTCGACGTGGAAGAGCTCTGTGTACTTCCCGTGGGTGGTATTAAGTTTCAGGGGAACCTGGCCAATAAATATTCTCACTAAAAAGTCAAATAAGACAAGTTAGTTGGAACACATCTCTGTGACATGTATAGATAGTTTATCTGCCTTACATGAGAGGCTGTTTGCATGGAAAACCTCTTTACAAGGCATACAGAAAACTCAGATCTGAGAGTCACTGCCCCAGTAAAGCGAAGTCACAGCCTTGGATTTTTTTCCCCAAGGAAATGTGCTGCAATGTTCTCACAGTCCCAGTCAAATTCCAGAGCTCAGTGCTGCTGAACAGACAGTATTTCACTTCAGTGTTCATACATTTCATGCAGAAGCACAGACTAACTTAAATAGATCCCTCAACACAGGGAGAGATGGGTAAATTTAGTAAGAAGATAGTGTCAGGTACCAAAGTTATTTATGATAGTTGGGGGTCAAATTATGTCAAATCTCTTACTTTTCCCTGCAATGGAAGGAGATCAAATCAGTGAGTCAAAATAAAACACTGTAGAAAGGACGTTTTTCTTTTTCAAACTGCTGGAGAGAATGAGCAATGACATTTGAAAAGAGGTCCAAAAGATGCATTTTTCTGTGCTTAGATTCATATTTGATTCACAGCAGCAGAATGCAATAATCTGAGTTGTCCAGACTTGCAGAGATAATACCCCTAAATCTTGTATTAAGTGTCATGAGATCCTCAGTGGAACTGAGAACTCAGAATTCCAGCTTTATGTTCCATCAGAAAAACAAATACAGTTGCAGATAACATTATAAAGCCTCCAATTCTTTCCCATTTTTTTCCCATCCACTGAACCAATCTTCACCACAAACTGCATATCAGACATATCTAATGTAACAGCTCCAGACAAAAATTATTATGAGAATCACCTTCACAGTGTTTATATAATCTGTCCATACTCCAGTTCAAGGCATAATCAAAACAAGTCTCTAAATGAGAAGCTGACATATTCCAACTTGAAGAAATGTTCCAAAACACTCTTCAGGGACACCTCACCCATGTTTCCTTAGCAAAATTTCCATGCCTCTAATCCTTGTTGATTAAGGGTCAAAAGAAAATCCATGAAAACAAATTCCCCTTTACAATGGAATACTGTAAGTGCTTGAGACTGAGAGTCCTCTAATAGAAAGGAAGGGGTCAGAATCTGAGTTCCAGCTAATAACTGTGCTGCTCAAAAAATGCTAAAGGTATGAAACAAGACCTTGATCTTACAAAGACTTTCACCATGGCTGCTTAACTTTCCACACGTGGCTGATTCCACTGAAGCCAGGTTACACAACAGCCCCACTCATGCCTCCCAAGCCAAGTGCCTTCACTGGAGTTTGCAGGGCTGATAAGCTGCTGAATGCTCTTTGGGATTTTGAAAACACATCAGGAACAGCAGGGGCACATCTGTCCTTATTAAGAAGCCTGAGCCCACCGCTCCATTGCTGGGTTTTTAAGAAGAACTCGGATATCTCTGCCTGCTCCCCAGGCAGCCCAACACAACAGGCATTAGACACCACACTTGTATAAACACTAAAAGGCTCTGACAAAAGAGGTGTCTGGGAGGAACATTAAACTCCTGAACTAGTTTGAGCCTAAGACAATTTATTTTAGAAGATTAAAGATAATTATTTCCATCCCTAGTATTTCACTTTTGTTTTCTTACCTAAATTGCACTTTCCTTTTTCCAGCTCATATCCAAGAGGACACTGACAGATATAGGAGCCATGGGTGTTGTTGCAGGTGGCCAGTGCAGGACAAGGGTTGGAAAGACATTTATCCACCTCTATAAAAGTAAAAAAAAAACAAAACAAAACAGATTATACTCACAGAATCATAAAAATCATCAACTCTTGGGTTAAAAGAGATGAACTTGGCTCCCCATCTGTGACTCCTTGAGCATTATCAGATGCTTCATTGCATCATTTGCACTTACTATTTATGCTGTTCCTAATTATTCTGTTGGAGCTGAAAGAATAAATATAAACCACTTGAATATTCATTCAAAAGCCCTTGAGGTCTAGCATGAATCCATGTTAATATGAACATCCAACTCATCTATAGCACTGCTCATCAGAGGACCTCAGGGTTCTTTCCAAAGACAAACCCAACAATTTATGCATGAGAAGACCAAAGAAGGAACCTCGACAGCCCCAATTAGACATGTGGGCATGGGCTGCTTCACCAAAGTCCTGCCCTGCTCATCCAAGCCCTGTTTCTCTGCTCCAAAGGTAGTGCTTGAGCACTGATCCAGTCTGTAGGTTACCCAGTAATGGTGGAGGCAGCCCTGGCTGCAATTACCTCTGTCCCCCAAGCTCCTCCATGCCAGCCTGGGGATGGTCACAGCAGCAATTCCTGCCTGTGCCACCACTCCCAGTGCCCTTCCTGATGGGTGAGCAAGAGCCTGGGGAGCAGACACCACTGTGATAACAGTGTCTCAGGGGATTAAGGACTGTAATGTCAGATGATTCACAGCTTACACAACTCAAACTGCAAATTCTGAAGAATATATCAAATATTTCCTCTTGGGGAAAAAAAAAAAAAAAAGGAAAAAAGATGTCCTGGTCAAAAAAGCTCTTCTTGCTGCATCTATGACTCACATGAGCACAAACACACATCACACACACCCACAAGGGCAGACCATAAGCAGGGCTGTGGACTTGTCAGTGACAAGGCTCTCCAAGACCAGCAAGACATCTTACACAGCACTTGTACCTGCCTTGTGGCTGCGGCTGAGTGCTGCAGCAGAGGCAGGAAGCACAGGCTCTGTGGTTAAAGCACAAGAGCCAAACCCATACGTGCATTTCTGGTAGCACTGCAATAACCCACAGCACCACACAGACCTGACAGCTCCCAGCCAAACTCTGCCCTGGCACACACCACTCGATGCAATCTCATGCCTGGCACAGCTGCCTCAGCATCAGTGAGAAGCAGATTTGGTGACTCTAATCTAAGCAGCCAGAAATGAGTGGGTGTGATTTAAAACCATGGCTTTCACTTTGCCATCCTTCAGTTCGTGCTTTGTACAGCAGAGACCAGGGCAGCCACTCTCAGGGCAGTGAGTGACCATGTACAAAGCACCATGTCCAAGACAGCAGAAGCACCTTTTGCATTCTGGTGAATGGCAAACCGTGGTTTTCAAAGGAAAGAATAATTTGACTAAAGTGTGAATCATTTTCTAAAAAGGCATTATCTTAATTTTTCAATTAAAAAAAAATATTCCATTTTTTTTTTTCTGCATGAAGCTATAGCTATAATTAAAACAAATCAGCCTGAGAAGTAACCTTTAGATACTTAATTATTGGATGGAATATATATTATTGCCAGTATTTCACTGAGATTAATGCCTTTAGCATGCACAATATCCTACAGTGGCATGATGGCCAGGCTCTGAGCTTCAAACACAAAGTCAGTTTCCTTTTATATAAGACTTCAGCAAATGTATTTACTTGAGAAGATAAGAAGACTGGCAGTGGTAATAAATTACTATAACAACATACTCAGCAAGACTATGGTACCTAGCCTATCAGAAGAAGCATCAGGCCCCTAAGAAGATTAATATTTAGTGAGGTGGGGTGAAAACAACCATAGGTTGTAATATGAGAAGCAGTTTCAACACAAATACCAAGTGCCGGCCAACTGTACCTTCTCAATAATAAGACAGATATCAATCATTATCTATTGTTATTGTTGAGCCATCAAGAAATATAAAGTGCATCCTGTGCTTACCTGTAAAGCAAATCAGATTTATTTTCTGAAAACTGTCAAATCTCAGCTTAATCTTTCTATCAGAATTTTCATCAAAGTGCTCACCCTTATTTCACCCATTCAACTTGATTGGTTAAACCCTCAGCTTAAAAAGAACAACACAGAGATGAGTTATTGCCCTCAAAGCCTGCTGACAACAGACTTGTCATACACACATGCACACACAACTCTTTGAGAAGTCTTCAAGTGGGACCCAGGTATTCCTGCCTGCTTGTTCCTGGCCCCACCACTGCTGAGAGCCATGGCACACCTTACCTGTGGCTGGAGGTGATGTCCTCAGCCCGACCGTGCTGCTCGACGGAGGAGCAGTGGTTGGTTTGGTAGCAGCCAAAGTAGTTGCAATGCTCGCAGTGGTCTTGATGGTTGGAGGTGCTTGAGAAGGACTTGTAACAGGGATGTTTTCCTTGCCAGGCTTTGCAGTGGTGGGACCCATGGCTTCTGTGCTTTTACCAGTGGCATAGCTGTGCTTAGTGGCAGTGGGTGTCTGGGCCCTGTGGTCTTTCATGGTGCTGGTCTCACCTGGGGTGGGCCGGTGACTGGATGGTGTTGTCAGCACAGGAGGTTTCACCGTGGTCACTGCCACTGCAGGGACAATGCTGCTGGGATTTGTTGCACTTGGTGAGGGACTAAGGGGTGCATCTGTTGGACCAGCCTGTGGAGTAACACTGGCTGTGGTGAGCAGTGGTGTTGTCTTCCCAAAGCTGTCCCCTTGGGTGGTGGCATCTCTAGGTGAGGCAGTCTCTGTTACTGTCACAGGAGCAGACACAGACACGATGCGTCCACCAAGCAGCTCCATGGGCTCCGTAGGGAGAGGTGACCTGGTGGGAGTGAAGGTGGTGCTCTTTTGGGGATGGTGTGTGACATTGGGCTTGTTGGTCTCTCTGGGTGAGCTCCTGGCTGTGGCAGCTGTGGAGGGCTCCTGCCTGACCACACTTGTAGCCACGGTGGTGCTTGCTTGATCACTCCCACTGGACTGCGAGATGGGTGAGGGTGATGAAATCAATAAAGATGCCAATGAGTAAGATGGGGAGGGCAAGGAGGAAGTGGGCAAGGAGGACGACAAAGCCTGCATAGGGGGTGAAGATGCCATCACAGAGGGCGAGCGTGGCTCAGGTGATTCTGACAGTGTAAACAGATGAGTTGGCGGTGGTGTCGATGACAGTGATGACAGTGAGGAAGAGGCTGGAAATGCTGATGAAGACAGAGATGATCTGTCAGTGGTCAACAGCTCAGAGGCAGTGTTGAATAGAGTTGTATTTTCTATGCTGCCTGTAGAAGCAGACGTTGATGGTTTGGAAGGGTGCACCAGCAACGGCTCCGTAGATGGTTCAACAAAACTGCTACTGTTTGATGCATTGGTCTGCCTGTCATGAGCCACAGATGACTGTGAGGCATCAAAAGGGCTGGAAATTTCAGAAAAAAAGGTGGAACTTTCTGAGGAGTCAGCAGAGGTGCTGCTGTTGGAGATAGACAGGAGGGTCCTTTCTCCTCCTCTGGTATATGTGGTTGAAATGTATGTGCCGTCTGTGTGAGAAACCGAGGTCCTTTTCTCAGCATCACTGCTACTGACTGGCTGATGGCTACCTGAAAAGTCTGGAGTAAAAGGACAAAAAATATTAGAAAGACAGAGTAATATGAAAGCATTTTGAGGTCATATTAAAACTGCTTGCTAAATGAGATGTTCTTGTCTGTGAACGTGTCCATGATTTTCTAAGAATTTCAAGCACCATTCAAGCATGGTTATAGGATTAGGAGTCTTATTCACTCCTTAATTGACTGTAAAATTATGAACCCTGACAGACACTAGACTCCCATGAGATGTGCAGGTTTCCAACTCACTGTTCTTCACATATTGCTTTCCTAAAGATTGAGATCTTAACATTCCAGGTATATGTGGCAAGCTAAGCAGGAAAGCCCAATTGTTCTCTTTATCACTCATAAATTACAAAACTCATATCCTCTCCCTCTTATCCTCCATTCCCATCTACAGAATATCCATCTTGTTCAGTCAGTTTTTTTTAGACACAGTGAACTTCATGCCTCTGCAGGATTAAATTATTACATTATGTTAATTTGCAGTTTATCATAAACCCAGTGATTCAAAACTTTGCAGCGAAGAAAACCTAAATGCACATCAGCATGCAAAAAGTTCAATTGTTTAGCACAAAAGGTGCAATCAGACTTATAGTACCAATTTCAAGATGTACAACTAAGTTCAGCCAACTTTAAAAATATAAAATATGGTATTGAAAATTTGTTTTAATTCTACAACTGCCTTAGGTCATCATGAAATACATCTGAAAGTATCACTCAAAAGAAACCAGTTAGGGTGCAAAAAAAAAATGCAGCCATCATTATGGCTCCACTTCGGGAATAGCTTCCCATGTGTGTGGGGTCTGGTTTTGGAAACATCCCCCTGAGTGAACCCATAGGTGGTGAATGTAGTAATGAACGAGAACTTTATGTACAACATACTAAAAAATGGACAATTCCCCCCAGATGTACACCAAAAAACATGAAATTACTTGTGAGATCGTTTTGGAAAGAAGAGTCAGTGGGTATCTTGGCAGAACGTACGAAGACCGTCTCCGTCGCAAAGCCCGTGAAACCCCCGCTGCTGGTGGAGGCGTTGGCTGTCCTGCCCTGCTCCACCAGTGCTGGCTCAGGCGGCCCTGGAGAGCTGGAAGCTCCAGCATGGGAAGAAGAGCTCTCCATGCCACCAGCCAGAGTGCCATCTGTCACTGAGAGCAGCATCCTCTCCTCAGCACCCGCAGACGTGGATGAACTGTACACGGGATCGGTGATGGGGCTGGACATCCTCATCTCAGCACTTGAGCTGCTTAGGGAGCGATGGCTGCTGCCAGTGGCTGGAAAGGGATTAAAAAGCAGGTGTCTGATTTTATCATCTCAGATCAGACAGGACTTTCCAAATACTGAGGAATCAGTACCATCAGAGTCATAATGGTATGTTTATGTTATTCGTAATTATCACCCCAACCCAGACAGGCACTGGATGCGTCCTACAGAAACAAGCTACATGTCTCAATGAGCACCAGCAGCTGCTCACCACGGGCAGGACCACGACCACTTATAAATGCTGCCCATGCCACCTGCAACAGCTGTGTCATACCAACAGCTGTGTCATACCAATCCTACAGAGAAGGGGAACAGACAGGCACTCAAACACTACCCCAGAGTTCAGAAAAACTCACTGGAAGATTCAGCAGCAGCTGAGAAGTAGGTGAAGACTCTGGATGAAAGGGTGACCTTGGGCTCTGGGGACCCTGCTTGGCCAGATGACATATGTGTCACTCGAGGCCATGCTGTGGAGGACGGGACAGGGACAGTGCGGGTGTCCCCAGCTGTGTCCAGATGAGATGTGAGGCTTTCTGCTTTTGTGCTCCACGTGCTGCGGCTACCTGTGGCTTGAGATGTCCCTTCCTTGTGGATGAAGAGTGTGGCTGAAGGTGAAGGCACTGAAATGCTGGGAGAAAACGCAGGCAGCAGCTTTGTTGGAAGCTCACTTTGTTGGAGTCCTGCACCGCTCTGTGAAACATTACTCTGCATCCCAGGCTCTGCTGCTGATGAGGACAGCAGGACTGTGTCCAGGGTGCTGGAAGCTCCACGGGTGTCCAACATGGGCACTGTGCTGCTCTCCTCACTGGCAGTAGCTGTCACCACACTGGGTGTGCTGGTGAGAGGCAGGCGTCCTCCCATTGCTGAGGTCTTGTCTGCTGAGAGAAAGCAAAGCAAAGTGATTTATGTACCCTAAACTATAAATTAGCAGGTGTTCTCTCCTCCATCACCAGCCTCAGGCTGAGGACACAGAGAGAATGTGGCAGAAAATCCAATCCTTAGGAAAATGCTAACTGTGAAGACACAGCTCTTTGCTGTGCTAGGAGCTGCTGCTCACAGCAAGACACCAGGAACAAGTTATGGGAGCACTTTTGGGTTTGTTTCCCTTCGGCACTGCTCCCACAGGCCTGACCTGGGCACCAGGCACCCACACTGCCACCTCTGCACCCACAATGAGTGAGGGGGAGGTTACACAGCACCCCGATCCCTGGTACTTGAAGGAAAGCATGGCAGGTTTGTATGGGATCAGTAAATATTGCCTGTGCACCCAGGGTGGGAGTCAGGACTGACTGTTGCTGCTTCTGCTGGTACAAACACAGCCAGTGGGGCCGTCTGAAGTTGTGCTGTCCTTGAAAACACAGCAAATCTCAAGACTGCTCTGGCAGTAAGGCTGGCTTTTCCTGGTGGCTAAATGGAAGAAAGAGAATGTGTTTTTCTCTGGAAGCTGAAATTTTCATCCATAACATCCAGTGCCATCATCCAGCACCTTCCAGCACGCCCTCACTCTCCATGCAGGTGGGTGTCTGATGTGTGGTCAGAGCTCACCTGGGGAAGTGCTTTTTGGAGCAGATGGTGAGCCTGTGAGCAATGGGTTCACAGATGACAGGGTGGTATCTCTGCCACCACCACCCAGAGAAGACTGGGAATGGCCTGGAGAGCTGATGTCTTCAGTACCAGTGGTGGAAACCTCTGTTGTTTGGGCCAGTATGGTGCTGGCTGGCAGAGACCTTAACGTCCTCCCTCCACCCTTGGTGCCTGTTGTGGAAATGGAAGTGCTGGTGGTGGGGAAATTGGTTCTTCTCTCTGTTGACAGGATGCTGAATGGCACATGGCTGCTTCCAGTAGCTAAAATGTGATAAAGAAACAATTTACATTTTTACACATATGGAACTATAAATAAAAATGAGCTTTCTTCCAACAGCACCCAGAGGCAGCAAGTACAGTATACAAACACAAGTAAAAAATAAGACAAGATGTCAATTTCCAAAGATGTAAATCCTTCCTACTAAAATTTGTCTTTTAAACAACAGTGTGATGCTGACAAAAGTGCTATTATATAAAAACTGTTGAAAGACTAATGCTGTGCACTTGATTTCACCATTATGTGCCTGAGTGCACTCCATGCTGCTAGAACAAATACTGGGATGACCCAGAAAAGCCAGGAAATCAGTTCAGACACGGCACTACCCTGAGCAGTGTGAAGGACTTAGAGAAGTCTGAAGAAACAGGATCAGGAGGATCATACTCTTTCAGAGCCCTGGTGGGGACTATAATCAAACAGCAGCATGAAGGACCTCAGAGACCACATTTAAAGTTGCTTTGAATTTGTTGAGCTGGTTCAAATTCTGGGAAGCAGCATGATTCAAGAAGTAGGACAGAAGGTAGAAACTGAAGTCTGATCCCTGGGACCACAGGGACATGATCTAATCCTCACTTGCTTAGTTCTCTTGTCTGTAACATGAAGATAGCCACTGGAGACAGTAAAAAAAGGACTGTGATTTGAAAGTTAATTATTTTTCTTGGCATAATGAAACTTTCCACACATGTGCCCTTTCTGTAAAAAATCTAAAGCACAGTTTTTTGGTCAAGAAAGAGCTGAATAATTTCAGACACAAAATCACACTGCATCCCTCCAAACAGTATATTCTATATAGCAGGAAAGAGTCAGGCAAGTGCACGCTGCAGGAAGTTCTCCTTTGGCTTGTAAGAAAAATGCTATTTCACTTCTAACGTGAGCTCACCTGGGGAAGGACCTTCCAAAGGAGAGCCAGAACGTGTTAGGGGGGAGTCTGCCACCTCGGTGAACTCTGTCATTCCTGTGAACCCCTGAGCTCTGGAGGTCTCTCTCACAGAAGATGTGGACAAGGATTGGGTTGTGCCCAAGGTCCTGTACGTGGCACTGCTGGCCGTGGAGCCCTTGGCAGCCCAGGGTGGTCTCCCACTGCCACCACCGCTGGACGTGGCTGAAACGGGAGTGCTGGGGGCAGAGGAAGGGAGGGAGGTTTCCTCTGCCACTGGTCGGTGGCTGCTTCTGACACCTAGGACACAATAAAACCAGGCTTGATTTGTGCATACAGAGCTGTGCATACAACTGTTGGCTCAGCACCCATTTCTACAAGGCCCATTGAGAAGCTGAAGGTGTTTCTCTGGGAGGAGGTGAAACCCTTAAGTACAGGCACATGAAAAACCCATGAAAAGTCTCAAACCCATGTCCTACAGACCAGCCTGCATGGCAGATACAGCACCAGGTGACAGCTGCAAAACCCCAGCAAGTATCTCGGGCAGGGAAATTGTGTGCACATATTTCTTAGCAATGTTCTCCCCAGGACAGACAGGAGTTTCATTAGTAACGAGGCCATCGATGTTTTCCACTTTTTCACCCAAAAGCTGAGTTCCACTCCTCCTTCCCACCCGCCCCACTGCCAGCTCAGTGCAGCCAGTAATAAAAACATCCAAGTATCCAATAAAGACTGATGACCATATCTGAAGAAAAACAACACAGGGATGTGAAATCTCATCCACCCCAAGGCAGACAACTTTCAGATTAACAAATTTACCTCGGGGAGGACCTTCAGAGGCAGAGAGGGAGCTTGTGAGCAAAGGACCCCCAGGAGAGCCTGGGAGATGGGTGGCTTCCCATGAGCTGTTGGGATGATGTGTCCCAGTCCTCAGGGAAGAGGAGGTCCCACCCAAAGAGCTTGTGGGGTTGGTGCTGGCAGCGTCCCTTGTCACTCCAGCTGTGTGGCCCTTTTCTGGGGACATCAGAGTCCCTGTTGCCACGCTGGACATGTCATCACCCTGGATGTCCAAGGGTAGCATCGCCTCTTCAGCACCTGGGATGCTCTTGAGGGGTTCATATTTGCTGCTAGAAGCTGAAAAAAGAGAAGAGAAAGACAAAACTGCATAAACATAATTAAAAATTGCTGGGTAGGGCTCATCCCACCGTTAGTAGATGTAGACAACGTATGTGTGAATATTCAATACGGAAATATTTAATACTGGGAAATCATTAAGACAGGGAAAAAAAGTGGTCTCTAAATAGGAACTGCTGAAGTTATTGCTTGCAAAATTCAACTGGAAATTTTCAAGGAAAATCTATCCTCCCCTTCCAACAAGAATAATATTTATCCATACTTTCATTTCTGTGAAATGTTTTTAAATGTACAGAATGTGCCAAATACAATATTATTCCTCCTTTCTTTAAAATAAAAAGGATATATTTTGTTAATAAAGAGTCTTTAAATAAGAGTTTTGAGCTATCTATCAAAACTCACTTGTGGAAGCGCTTCCTGAAACGGACGGCAAGCCTGAGAGCAATGGGTCTGTGACACCTCTGCCTCCATCACCCTGAGCACCCACAGACACCTCAGGGGTCCGACTCTGGGCTGAAGAGCTGCTGAATTCAGTCCCAGGGGTGGAAATCTCTGCCATGGTGACCAGCCTGGTGCTGGCTGGCAGAGACCTTAATGTCCTCCCTCCACCCTTGGCAGCTGTTGTGGAAATGGAGGTGCTGGTGGTGGGGAAATCCGAACCGAACCTCTCTGTAGCCGAGTTGTTGGATGGATGGTAGCTGCTTCCAATGCCTACGGTACAATTTAAAAAACAGATTTATACATATGAAATTATAAACAGGTGGATCCATTTTCTTCCCAGATGCTTACAGCACCCATACAGATATTAAGCATAGGAAGTTTTCAATCTGGACAAAGTGCTCCTTTGGAAAGGCATGACTCTTCTCACCATAGGAAGACCTTGCACAAAACCCAGGACTTGCTGCCAGGTTTTGTGAAAGTGGCATGGTCCAGACAGCAGGAATCCCCACAGAACAAGGACTTGGGAGTTTGCCTTTAAATCCCACCTTTGCTGTAATATTGCTGGAAATAGGCTCAGGATTTTTTTTTTTTTTTTTCCCTGTGGCTTAAGCACAGCATCCAACAGCAAAGGGAGGAAACCTAAGCCCAGCCACATTCCCATATGAGCCTGCAGCTCACTCCACATCCTGGGGCTCAGCGGGGCACAATCCTTCAGATACTGGATCTCAGGTTTCCTACAGCCCCAGTGGTGCTCCCAACAACTGTGACAGAGGGAAGGGATGTGTCAGTGTGAGAACCCAGAGATGAGTTTTTGCTCCTGAAAAGCCCTGGACACAGGATAAGGATTCAGTAACACTGAACTTTTCAGTATTCATGTGGAGCTGGGCAAAGTCTCTGTTTTTGGGAACTCCAGAAATTGGCTGCTGCAGAGCAAGCAAGGGAGGCCATAGGGCCAGGGATCTCAGGTTTGCTGCCCTGAGCAAATTGTTAAGCACAGGATCTCACCCTGTCTAGCTGAGGGCAAGCCCACCCCGTGTGGCCACAAGTGTGGGTTCCCAGCCTCCCACCCCACTCCCTCACCACTTGGGCACAGGTCAGACAGGGCTCAGAGCTGCCCTTGCTCTGCAGCTGGCACTGGCCCAGTGAAGCTATTTCACAGCTGCAGACATCCACCCTGCAGAAAACACTACTATGATAACATCCAAAGAACTTTTTTTTTTTTTTTACTTGGAAATTGTTGGGGGGTTTGGTTCAATTTTTTTTTTTCCATTGCTTTTTTCTGCTTTCAGCAGGGAATTTCAGCTAACCATCCAAATAATAAAAAACAGAGCACATGCAAAACAGAGCATCTCCTCTGCTTCAAGAAAGCAAACACTATCAAGTGGCTTTTCAAAACTATGAAAGAAAGGCTCACCTCCAAAGGCATTGTCCATGGGAGGTGATGCAGACAGAAAAGTCCTGGTGAAGTTGCCTGTGACACCCCTGGGGTGCAGCACGGTGTGCTCTGCACCAGTCTGGGCACTTGAAGCCTGGGAGGAGGCGTGGGGCTGTCCCAGGGGGGCATGGAGGGCAGTGCTGGGGCTGCTGCCCCAGGGGCTGGGTGCAGCAGCTGCAGTGCCCATGGCAGGGCTGCTGCCCAGCTCTGTGCCCACCCAGCTGCTCACGGCTCCAGAGAGGCTGTCAGTGCCTGCAAGGCAAAGGGGGAAAGCAGATGAGAACCCAGAGATGGGCTCAGCTGCCCGCACACCATTCCACACTGCCACCCTTCCACTGCCCTTCAGCCCCTGTCTGCACTGTGCCTACAGAAACTCTGGGTCTGGAAGCTGCATCAAGATAATTTTGAATACTAGAAGTCGCATGGATTCTTTTCTCCATCCTTGTGCATAAAGCAAGCCAGTAAACTGCCCTGAGTGAGGATGGAGAGCTGGATCCACAAAGCTCTACAATACAGGAGAACCAGGCTTAACCAATGCTGGCTGCTCTGGGGAACAGCATTCACCTTCCTCCTAGGTGTTGGAACAGTTTCCCAGTGTTCCTAGGCCGAACTGGGATGGCCCACCTGGGTGATGCGGTTCTGAAGATGAAGGTAGCAGCGCTGTCCTCACGGTGTTGTCAAACCCAGACACGTTCCAGACCCCATGGTGCCCTCCCTGCATCCCCTCAGCCGAATCAGTGCTGACAGCTTCCGAGCCTGGTGGTGTCTCCTCAGCAGCTGCAGGGGTGTGGGGAGAAGCCAGAGACCTCTTGCCTCTCCCTGGCCTGTCTGCAGCATGGTGATGGCTTCCAGGGTCTGGAAAGCAACAGGGAGAAGGTCATGTTCACCTGGAATAGTTCTTTTGTCTCAGCTGGGTGGCAGAAGCATCACCTGCAGTGGTACCCAGCCCTACCAAATGCAATAGGAGGGGTCACAGCTGCATCCCTCATGTCTTCTCTGTTTAACAGAGCACAGTTTAACTGCAGGAGGGATTGATGGGAACAGAGGGTGTCTGTCGCCAAAATATAGTGGCATTTTAAACTTTGTCTTCATTTGTGCATGGCAAAAGAAACAGTTTTTTTTTTGGTTTTTTTTTTTTTTTTTTGAGACAGTAAAAATGCCGAAGGCAATAAGGAGCTGGTGCTAGAACAGCCCACAGCTGGCAGCCTGGGCATGCCAGCTCCACATTCTAGTCCCTAAGCAGAAAAAAATAAAGGAATCAAAAAAATTAAAGAAAACCTCTATGCTTATATCTTATTTCAGCCAGGGATATTAAAAAAAAAATAAGTGGGGACAGTGCAATCAGCACAGCTTTGTCTTGCTGCTGTGAGAAACAGGCCTTGATTTAAGTTCATATTTAAAAGAGTACAATGGTTTACTTATGACTGAAAATTATGAACAAGCCCAAAAGTAAGTGTTCACTTGCAGGTTTTCCATGTAAGGACCTCAGCCACAAATCGTCATTGCAACTGGTCAGTTATCCTTAAGCTGAGTTCTTACAACCTGGGCTGGGCTTGAAATGGGGTTCAGTTCCTGATGGAGAAATTGTGGAGACACCCAGGGGTCTGCACGCCTTGCACAGCCCCTGAGCTCAGTGGATGGGCAGAACTCCCTGGGTACTGCTGAGCGGTGAAAAACAGGGGCAGCTCCTGAGAATCATCTTTGTTGAAATGTTAAAAAGCAAAGCCCAGCTTTCTGAGATTGGATTTCTCTCAAAAATCTGCATTTCTAGCTGTGGGGCAGGAATACTCCCTGACCCACTGGCTGTGCTCAGTCCATGGGCTGGGAAGAGCTAACAGGGACTCTCACATCCATGAAACTCACCGGGAGGATGGCTGGGGGTGAGCAGGTGGGTCACTGTCCCAGCAGATGGGTTCTCTGGGGATCCTGCTCCTGGAGGGGTGACATCCCCATCACTGGCAGGGGGGCCAGTGTGCCCTGTGACCCTGCTTGCTGCTGGCACTGCCCCCTCCCTGCTCCCAGCCAGCATCGTCACCAACTCCACAGGAGCACCAGCAGTCCTCATCTCCGGGCTTGAACTTCTCTCCTGATGGCTGCCTTCAATGACTAAAAGGAAAGACAAAAAAACTTAGATCCCATCAGAACTGATGTGCAGGCTCAGCTCACTGCAGTAACACCAAGGCCAGACTTTGAGCTCATTTACTTACACTAGAGAAAAATTTTGCGTAATCAAAACACAGACATGAAATTTATTTTTGGATTTGCACCAGTGGAAACTAGATTGGTCTGTGGGACCAAAAACCAAAACCCACCTCTGTGCAAAACACTAATTCAATTCAGCACCCTCAGGATTTTTTTGTGTTAGGAGAAATCAATTTTGAATGGAGCAAAAAGAAAGTCTTAAACAAATGGAAATACAGTGTAGAGTCCATGGCAGGAGTGTGAAGGTGTCCAGAGCTGACAGTCCAGCACAGCCCATGTGCCCCATTCTGAATGTAAGATGGGAGTGGAGAGGGCCCCACAGCTCCTCCCCTCTCTCCACTTGGCCAGTGCTTGCTGGACACCCAACCTCAAATCCCATCACCTGCAGGGAGCTGGCATGAGGCTGGCTGAGAGCTGCAGGGCACTCAGGATGGTCACTATAACCCACCCAGCCACAGTGCAGCACTGGGGACAGAGGAGATGAGTGTATGGTGGGGATTATATGGCTCACCCACGTGCCAAAACACCCCAAAGTGATGAGATATTTTAGCATTTCTAACATAATGTCTACCAGAATATGAGAAACAAGATGAAGACTGTGCATGAGTGGTGGTGCAGGGAATCAGGGTTTGCAGCTTATGGTACCACCCAGGGCTGTGAGAATTTCACTGCATATCAGTTCACACAAAAACCAGCAGTCACCATCTATGTCATAGTCCCAAGGCTTGGCTGGCCCTGCAGCCTCAGATGACCTGCAGAGCCCACAACAAGCTTGGAAGCCAAAAGCAAGTCCAAATCTGAAAGGGCAAGGTCCCTATTTTGTACATCTTCCTTACAACCAAAACGCAGTCCCTGTCAGGTGCGTGGCATCCACAGGCAGCAGATAAAGGCACTCAGCCTCTGCCCAAAAGCCCTGCTTTTGAAGGTTAAGCCTGTTCTGGGCCTCCAAACATTTTCTGTAAGAAAATAGTGTGTTCAAGAGAAACACCTATGGGACACCTCCTCCTCGTCCTGTACGTCTTCTTTGGAGTTGCTGCACCTGCCACAGCAGAGGTGGTGATTTCCTCTATACATCTGGTGGTGTCCTCTATACATCTGCAATAGCATCACTGGGAACTCACCAAGAAATAGAGGGGTAGGTAGGACAGTCTGTATTTCATCCAGTCTAAGCCCCATGTGGGCCAAGGAGACAAGAGCTGTGGTGGAGCAGAGCCCCCAGGGTACCATTACTGGCAGCGCTCAGTGGCTGCAATGCCGAGCAGCCACTGCCACCCAGAGCCCACTGTGAGCCACAGCCTGCCTCACAGGGAAAGCTTCTGGTCCTCACCAGCTGGACAATGGGATGGGAAGTGGCAGGAGATGCTTGCTGTGTTCATTTGCAAGCCAATACCCAGCCTGTAATTGTAGCCCAGAAGTCCATTTATAGCAGCCCCAAAAAATGTGGCTGTGCTGGAGGGCAGTGCACTGAATTTCTCTCCATCCCCCTCTCACTAAAAGCTTTCAGCTGTGCAACCCATGCTGACTGGAAAGCCTGTGGCCAGCTTTGCTGCATGGAGAGAAGGCAAAGCAGCAGATGCTTAAAGAAGCCCTTAGGGTATGAGGATAGACAGAAGGAAATCTGCTTTCTCAGGTTGCCAAGTCATTTGTCAACAAGGGCTCTGGACAGGCAGGCTGAAATACACAGGATCACACTGCAGCAGGCATTTCATTGCCACTTCTTAAAAAGTAATCCTGGAAATGCCAACAAGCAGTGCCTTCAGCTATGTTCCTTGATTGAATGAGACCAGTTCAAAAGTAAAACACTGCTGTTTGCTTATCTGGTGGTTGTTTGCCCTGCAAATCCACCTCAGACTGTTCTCTATCTTCTTTTGGCTCTGCAGAGCTGCTGGGAATAAACTGAAGCAAAACCCTTCCCCTTATTGTGGGCGCCAGCAAACCTGGCTTTGAGTGCAGCCAGGCAGTGGAGGGGCTGAATAAGAAGGTATTATTTACATAGGCTTTTTAGAGTCAACTGGCATTTTTAACTCTGCCCTGCAAGGTATACCAGGTCCTGGAGAAGGGAGGAAAACCTTGTGCTAGCATGAGCTCAGCTCCCCAGATAGGCGAGTGCAGAGCATAAGCTATGCTGGAAAATTCAACCCACAGCATGTAGTAAGGAAACCCCTCAAAAAATTGTGCTCTTCAACAAAATAGACACGAAATCTCACATCCATCAAGCCTACCAGAAGTGCAAGATAAAACCACAATATCCTCTTTGATTTGCCTGAAGAAATTAAGACTTCAAAGACGACCCTCCTCTGGAGCGGATGGACCAGATCAGACTTCTTCCAAAAAATTCCCCACGGGACCATCTGGCCTCCCCTGACGCATTAAAGGCTTAAAGCAGAGTGGCTCTTTAGCTGAGGTACCGATCTGTCACTAACAATTTCGTCACATCCTAAGCTGCCAACAGCTTTGCACGGTTTAATCACATAACCACAGCCACTGAGAAATATTTGACTTCCAGCACAAAACCCTGCCACCCACTGGATTGGTGTTTTCCTTCCCAGTTAAAACTAGCAGTGATGCTCACCAGACAGGTCGAGGCTTGGAGTTACTTTTTCTTTGCAAGCATAACAAGTCCGTGGCTTGCTGTGAGCCGAGTTACATAGCTCAGCCAGGACAAACAGATCAAGTTCCAGCTGATTTCTCAAGGCTTTGGGCTTGCCCCTGGCAGCCCAGTTGGATATCTACCTTGTGAGACTCCTGAAAAATCTCTTTTGGGCCAACAATTTTCTGTATTCATCCCTGGCACAGCACAGGCATTGCCCTGTTTCAGAGATGGCTGCATCCAAGGCAGCATTTAGGAGATGCTCACAACTCAACCATGGGCCAGCACAACACCAAAAAGCACAATAATGCAAGTTTTCTGCAGTGACTGCGATCACACACAGACACCTTAGGGCACGGAGGGAGGAGGGATGTATCCTGCTGATGCCAGGAGAGCAGCATCCCCGCCGGCAGCATTTGCCAGGAGATTGCAGCCAGCCAAGGCACGTCACAAGCTATCCCAGCCCCGCTGCTTCCCTGAAGATGGGATTTTTTTCCCCCTCGAGGGGAAGAAAAATCCTTTCTTAACGGGGGAACACAAATTTCATCTGAGTTCGCCCAGGAGGAAAGCCAAGTCCAGAGCAGCGGGCATTCCCTGGGGAGCGTTCCCGGCGGGACGGGGATGGAGCCGCCCGTGCAGCGCTGTTCTGCGGGCTGCGGGCCACGCCGGGAGATCCGCGGCGGGCGGAGCACGCGTGGAGCCGCAGCAGCTCCTCCCGGGACCCGCAGCTACAGCACAAACCCACATCTGTCAGCGTTGCATAACCTCAACATCATCCGAGGCTCGCGGAGGGGAGGAAAAAACTCATCGCGACTTCGCAAACTCCTCGCTGGCTGCAGGGAAGGTTGGGAAGAAAGGCAGGGAGGAGAAGCGGGGAGCAGGGCCGGGGCAGCTCCGTTTTGAACGGAGCTCTGTTTTGAACGGCTGCTGCGGATGTCGGGATCATGGGTGGAGGCCGCTTAGGAGCCAAGCGAGTTTGTGCGAACAAAAGCTAAAGCCCTAAATCTGGACCGTCCAGGGCTCTCTGGGATTTTCAATTTCCTTCCTTGTTCTTGCTCTGAAAGAAGAAGTTCAAGGCGGGGGGGGAGCAGAGGGGGCTGAAATGGAGCTTAAAAAAAAATCATACTTGAGATGGGTCAATTGAGTGTAAACACACTGATAATATGCTTGGGGAAGGTCCCTCGTGTGCACTAAGTGCGGGAAAAATGCAAGAGGTTTTTAACCACATGCAGTCAACCCTGTTCTGCTAATTTTTTTTTATCAATAAAAGGATTTTTTTTTGTCTGGATTAAGAAAGGTGGCAAGAGGGGGTGTATGGGGAAGAGAAGAAAAGGTGCAGAAGCCTTGCCGTTGCCTCTCACCCTTTCGTGGGGGTTGGTTTGGGTGCAGTACCCTATAGACACATTCCCTTCCTGCAGTGCTTCTGCTCCTTGTCCTCTCCCCACCTGCCCCAGGCAGAGCAGGACAGCAACTCACAGGACCTTCAGTAATTTTAACCATAATAGGAGATTAGTGCAGGCAACAAAGGTGCCTAGAGCATTAACATGTCAGCTCAAGAAAAGTGATGGGGGTTTAATGCCAGCAGCATCCCCTGCAAGCTCTGAATGCCAAAGTCCACATGGCTAATGCCCACCTGGGGATGGGTGGGCTGGGGACATCGGCATTATCCTCAGACATTCCAGTGCCATGCCACAGCACGTTGCTCGCAGTTCTGCTTTATGACACAGAAACACTCTGCACTTCCACACCAGGACCTGTAAAACCTCAGAGGATGCTAAAGGCCATTTTTGCTTCCTACACTTTTTTTCACCATCTCAGAGCCTGATGCTCGGAAATGCCATTAGGAAAAAAAAGGATCCGGTTACTGCTCTTAAAATCAGTACCCTAAAGCAAGGAAACAGGTTCTCTAAAATAAAGAGTACACAGAAATCTGTGATCCTTTCCAAAAGCACAGGATATATACATATGGAGTGCCCACAACTGGGATAAAACCTGCACAGTGCAGGGGCAGGATATTGTTCTGCTTATCAAGAGGTTTACAGCCTCTTAGTTTTGGTGTCCTAAACATTTCCCTGGAGAGGTGCAGGCTGCCAGATAACCTGCTCAAGCCTATGAAATCCTAAACTTCCTTCTTATCTTTCTTGGGCAATTTGGTTCAATCCACAGATGCCTGAGACCACATGGATTCATGGGATCACCTGTGCTGCCTGAAAACGACCAGCTCACGGCTCAAGGCACCTCCTCAAACCTCTTTTCATAAACAGCTTTTAGCAACTGAATATAAAAAAAGTCCTGGTTCATCATCAAGTCTTTG